GGAACTGGTTCAATTTTCACATTTAGGCTGTTTGCAAGACATAATTTTTGTGAACCATTCATAGTCATTCAGCCTTCACTGCTTATAAACAAAACAAATATAAGTGGATGCACATGAGCTGTTCTTCATTCACTTGTGGACTTAACATTTGGAATTCACTTTTCCAGCCATGTGACTGGTTCTACCAGTCAGTACAACTTTTCTTCTCTAACTAGATTTCTTAAACTTTGTAAATAGCATAGCACTTGAAAAACCTGTTCCATCATCCAATAAAAACAATGAAGATTACCTGAGAAATAACAACTTTGAACAGCAAGGACAGTCTAATGACTTTTGTTATATTTAAAGAAATTTAATTCATTCTTTTTCAGCTGAGGGATATTTCTGCCTGGCTAAAGGTATCCATTTCAGATTTTAAAATACCCTGTTTCTTTCCTAAATGCAATGGAGCAGGGGAGAAGGATTTCTCTTGTCACATTTACACCAACTCATCACTACAAAAGCAGTTTTCCTGCCTGCCCAGGAGCTGCCATGTTACTGACCTGTGCCTCCTTTTTCTCCACATCTCCCTTGATTTAGTTTAGCTTGATGGCTCTTTCTGGTCAGCAGCTTTGACATTTTACCAGCTGATTTTGCTTATCTAAAACATGAAGTTCTAGGACTGTTTACATTTTAAATTGTAAACACTTTGGTAGAACATATGATGACATTTCAGCAGCACAAGTTCCTGTGATGTAAATCCTCCTGTCCCAATAATTGATTACAAAAACTGCAGGTACAAATTCCCTGTATTCTCTGGTTGGAATATAGCAAGGTCTATGGCCAAGGAATCTCACTTGCTACAGTGCCTTTTCCCTCTTCTTTCTTCTTATTATTGGGAATGTCTGCTCTATGGCACCTTGAAAAATCACTGCATTTTTCAATCTTTTGTTTCCCTACTAATTTTAATACCTGCATAAACACATACAGGAGGTACAGAATTACTGGGTATATGACTCTGATAAAAACACAATTTTTGGCACCCAAACTCACTAATGTTCTGTGCCATGTGTCTAACAGGTATCCCACAAAAAGGATGTATTCTAATAGTTCCAAACCTGCAATCCAGCTTATATTCTGACCACAAAGTTTCCGGTTTCTGTCACTGCTCTTTTTTTGGTGGGGGAGAGTTGAATTACTAACACAAGTTCGTTCATGTAGAAATATTTCACACCTCTCAACTCTATTTCTTTGAAATCCCAGACAAATGGCCACTGCTCATGAATGGTGGGACTCTCCATTAGGCAGTGAGCTAGATGCCTGTTTCTCTCCTGTGAGAAGAAATACTGCACACTTTCAACATTGATAGAAAAATTGTCAGTGCCCTTGCTTTAAATGACAGTAGAGAAACTAAAGTATATAATCAGATCCTGGGAGACTTGGGTAATATGTTCCCCTGAGATAAAAGGTGTTCATCTCCTATTTTCAAAGAAAGTGCCCTAACCACTATATTAAAGCTTGATCAAAGTGCTCTAGTATGGCACTGCACTGCATCACAGAGCAATACGTGAACATCCACCAAATGCACCTAGAACCTGAATTTGATTTTAGTTTCCTATTGGAAATGAAGGGAGAAATCTGGCCTGTGGTTAGACATCACTATTCAAGATTTCCTAAAATATACAGTAACTATATTCCTCATTAATTGCTGTCTACTTCTGTCAAGATAATACGACAGTAACTCCAATGAAGTTACAGCACTTACAGTAGTACAGCTGATAGCAAAACTTGGCTCGATATCCTCAAACATAAATGGATATTTTATCTGCTTAGTGCATGCTGTCTCTTTTATTGAAACCAAAACAGTGAGACAAAAGTCATCCTGAAGAGACCAAAAGAAACTTAAATATGTATTTTTTTCTAAGCATATGAATATTTTATGATCTATGGTTTCCATAGTGCTTATTTACTTTGTTTGTTCAACATTTTGAGTTGTCAGAATAGGCATTAGAAAGAGCAAAAATAGAAAAATGGAAAATAAGTCAGTAAGAAATGGATTTATTACATTTTTCCTTGGGACACATGCAGACATAGACACTATCAACACATTGCAAATAATATACTAATTGTTCATTTGGCCCAAACTTAAACCAAGAATTCAACACTCTCAGAGAGTATTCAATATATATTTTTAAAATTATTCCAGTCACATTAAAATATAGAAAAGTCTCATTAAAAATAATCATAGAAGGAGAAGAGAAATCAGGTATATTTTGATAAGAAAATATTGTGTACTCAGTACAATAACTTTATCAGATTAGCAAGTTTCTTACTAATATCTACAAGGAGATATTTTAAAGTCACTTATTTGTGTGAACAGTTTCAGAAAATGTTAAATGTTATGAAGTGTTTCTTTAAAATCTGCATTATTAGTATCATTTATCATTCATCTTCATTTGCACTTAGCATTTTGGTATTGGTCTTAAATGTATCAAAATTTGCTTCTACCTTTCAGGTGATGACAGGGTAGGACATTGCTAAGACGGGCTTGCTTGGGAGATGCACAATATTTTTGGCTGCGTATTTTCCAAACTCTATGTTGTCTTCCAGTGAAAAGCAAACAGAAATATTTAAATTACATAATTGCCTCCCTACACTCTACCTAAACTCTTCTTTCAGTCACACTCTCTTCTTTCAGTGAACCTTAACAAGGCAAACTGAAAGCTTCCTTTGTTATCCTGGTCTATGGCACCTGAATGGTGCCAAACAAAACTGAGTTAATTCAGAGCTCTTAGCAAAAGGATTTCTTTCTCTGACTCCTCTCCAATACCAAATAGAGAAAAAAACAAGCCTTTTGCTTTTCTCTCAGTATTAACTAACAGCAGAGAAAACAAAAATATCATCTCCTTCATGTTATGATTTACATACACTCATCTTCCTCCTTTTCTTATTTCTTCTGAGTCTCCATTTGATTTCTCATGGTTATTATTCATCTACATAAAGGCGTTACCCCTTATGGTATGAAGTGGTTTTACATGGAATCTTTGTAATGCAGCAACTCATAACCATAATCTAGGCTAAATGTGTTACCTAAATTGCTGTGGTTTCAAAATTTACAAAAAAAAATGTATTTCCTAGAGCAATCTAACTTCTCCTTTTACTAAAACAACAAAGTAAACCCATTAGGAAGACTATGAGTTTGAGCAATTAATTACACACTTAATAATATTTTATAGTTTTCTAAATACTTTAAAGTCCTTTCCAAACATTATGATTCAGATCCTGCCACCACTCCTCATAGAGACTAGAAAAATTAATGGAACTACTCCAAAAGCAAATTACATTTAGGTTCTGGGAAAATTTGGGTTCTGATTCAATTTTTTTTTCAAAGAATTTAGTGACATCATTTTGACCATATGAATTTGGAAAAATCAGAAATGGAAACACCACATTAAGCAATTTCATGTAACAAAATGGCAGAAAGATAAGATTTCTCTCAAAAAAAAAGCTTTGACTCTTAAGTATCTTACACAGCTGAAGTGTTCCAAAGGCACAGAAGGTGGTCAGCCACAAAATCATTAGGGAAAGCCTCAGAACTGGATCCTACCTCACATTTATTTCTGTAAATCCTTCCCTTGTTATGCTACTGCACCTAAGAACGTAAAGAATGAACAAGTAACTATTGCTTAGAGTTTCATGTTTATTACATAACTAATGCCATAATCACATTGAGAAGTTACAGAAATCAAAAGAGTATGATCATAATATCCAATCTTACACATTTCAAGTGTACCACTGACGTGACAAAGAATTCAGCAACTACTCAAATCACATGGTTTGCAAAGGCATTCTTTGTCAAAAAAAATAATTAAAATTTAGGGTTAAAGCTAGAAAAAAAAAAGACAATGATAAATACTGGTTCTGTTATAGCTATTCTGTTGGAATTTTTAAAATATGAGGTAAATCTTCGTGATTTAAAGATGTTGATTCAGAGAGTATTAGCTATTTACCAAATGCTTAATAAAGTCAGGTACAAATTAAAAAGCTCGATATGTATTCTCAGTTCTGCATAGAAATCCTCTGTTTGGCGGTTGGAACCACATCAAATCAAATTTTTACTAGGTTTGAAAAAAACTGCATATATTCATGGTTTCCACTAGCTAGTCAAGAGCTTGAAATATTGGTCTTGACTGGATAGTCAAGACCAATTCTTTCCACAGGAAAGTAATTCTCAGAGGAAATTATTTGTCACACTACTTCCAATCTAAAGATCTAAACACAGTCTTTCCTCTAGCCTTTGGCACAACCCATAATAATTGGACCATAGGAGAGAGCAACAAAAAAGTGGATCCACAAGATGCATGCCAAATATCACTACCAGCTCAATCATTCGCTTTCTCACCTTTCCTCCCCATCAGGAATAATCAGTAGCTGAAGTATTAAATGACATGTCACAGTCATTCACTGATGGAGGAGCAAGACAGAATGACATATTCTGCTGATCATTTATAGCTATTGGTTGTTATAGGGTATTAACTTGCAATACACAATCTCGTTTGAATTTCAGATGAGCAGATGGCCAGATGGATTAGCCTGTAAAATTAATATTCCAAACCCATATACAGCAGGACTTTGTATGGGTACTGACTGCTTCAAAACCCATGAAGTCAGTTTAGTGGATTTTATTTTTCAGGCCTTGCTTATTATTTGCTCCACAAATACTGAAACCTGCCACAGTGAAAGGCAATTTTGGAATGCTTCGGTATTTTGGTGGCATGGCTTCCTTGAATACTTCTTTCACAGTGCCAGGAGCACTCATTTCCAGCGCACATCTGGTGAAAAGACCAAAATTTGTTTACCTTACATCAAAATATTTGCATATGCCTACAAGGAGGTGTACAGTACATGGGAGCTGGAGATATTAGGTGCCTAATTATGGCAACAAGCAACACTGAAATTATTGCCAAAAAAACCTCTCTGTGCTTTTCAGGTCTCACCTGGAGGAGTGTATGTGTACATACCTGGCAGATGTTGCTCCCAGTTCCCGAACTGACCAGAGCACTAACAAAGACCTGCAGAAACAGGAAGGAGCGACTCACCTGCTGGTGTTCATAGGGACAGAGGGTACAGTTAGCGACTGCAGCCCAGGAGAAGGTGACAAGTTCCAGCTATTAAAAACTGTGAATTTCTCAAGTCCCCTGGATCTTTCTGAAAAGCTTACCTCAATTGCAATTAGTCTGCCTTGGCCTCTGACCTACTGCAGATGAACATAATACAAGTCTTGAGGGAAACCGCTGTATTTTAGAGCCACCAACTTGATTACTATTGATTATCTACTTGCCTCAATGGTAATTTCCCTTTGTCAGTAGCACTTCTGCCTGACTGCTCCTTCTGGGACTTAGGTTTTCTGTTATTTTTCTCTTTTTTCCCCAGATTGGCTCCAAGAACTATATTTTGATTATGTTTTCGGTTAAGCAAGGGAGGTAATAGAAGGGAAGGGCTCAGCTCTAATCACAATAGGAACTTATTAAAGAAATCCCTCATTGTTCCAGGGGAACCGAGAAGGTAACTTTTCAAAATTAGATTGTCCATGAGGTAAGTTTTCCTCTTCTGCTTTGATGGGGAAAAGTATAACAATTTAAAATAAATAATATATGAGGCATTAGAATACTCCCATATAGTTATAATCTAGCTAGTTAACGTGAGGACTGAAAGGATTCCTACAGTTAAATTACTGTGTAGTTGCAAAACTCGAAGACTAAGTTTAGAGCTGACTCTCCAATATGATGATCCAGCTGAGTGGTTCAGTAACAATGATGTCGGGCCTCCAAGTGGCAGATGAGGCTTTTGTTTTATTTGTTTGACAGTAAATATCTGGGCTGTTGCTTAGCAGCCATACACAGAGACAGAGGCGTTTCCAGACAAAATAAACTACACTACAGCAGGTAAACCTTTCACAGCAATTACCAAATGGAAATGAGATCTGAACTGATCACTGCAAAGCAACCCAACACCTTTGTTTCCTGCAGATGTTTTAAGCACACAAACAGCAATTTGGGATTTCTTGATGCCACTGTGATAAGGCATCATATATTAAAAAAAATGATTTTGAAAAATTATATGCTGAAAATCCTAGAAACAGAGACCAAAGTTTTCAAACTTCTGTCAGCTGTTAAATCCATATTTAAATAACACATTAAACAACTACATTGTCTCTCAGAGACAAGGAGCATTTACAACCATTGCTGAATTCCAGGGAATTTTCATATATCCTAGGAGCATTGCACTCATCCAGAACTGAAATACAAATAACAGAGCACCAGACTGAAAAGCTTTTTTGGATGTTTTAACAACTTGGTATTAATTCTGATAAGTCTTATTACTACCTCTGCTGTCACAAAAGCCCCGATACCCTGAGTTCTCAGGCCAAAACTCGTGCATGTCACCTACCCCTGAGTGTTTCATTTCCACACAAAGTCTTCAGCTTTCACAGGACTCACCTCCTATACCAAAAAAAAAAAAAGGAAATGCCAAAGCTGCTCTTGCATATCGCAGCTGTACAGCTCTAAGGCAGGTATTTCACTGAGAAAGCAGCACTTGGCCTCAGTGAGCAAACAGAAAGGGCCAAATTCTGCTCTCTCTCGTTACCCTGGGGCATTCCACAAGGAGGAATCTGCATGTGAATAACCTAGAGAAGAAATGTGTTTCCAGACACTTGAGCTTAAAGACTGAAAAAATGCTGTTGTGAATTCTGTCATCTTATATTTTCATTGACGGGTTTTTGGGGGTGAGTTGTGTTGTAAGGTGCTTTTTTTTACTCTCAGAGTTGATCCACAGGGCATTGTCATTATGTTGCTGTCTCACCTTTCAGTTGATAGACAGACTTCCTGCTGGAGAAACATTATTATTTAACCGGATCCACTCATCCTGCCACTGATTTGTTTTACTTTTGTTCCTGGCAAAGAACAGCAACTCTAGGTAATGTTTCTTTTCTCATTTGGGCAAGTCCTTCAGAACACTTTAGTAAATTAACCCTATGTAGTTCACTTAGTAAACACAGGATCTCCAGAAAGGATTTAAAAAACTAAATTACTTTAGCATTTCCAGACAATCTTTGTTTTTCTTTCGTTTTGTCTGACACAAGCTTAAGAAAATACTCAGGAAGCAAACGTGAATGTTTAATTCCTCAACAAATGTTGTAAGCACAGCATGAGAGAATCAAAGCAAAAAGGAGGGGTTTTAATAAACAATAAAGACATGCCAACTCTGCTTCTGGAGTAGAAGTATTATCAATGAATCCGCAATAGTCTGTTTTTAATTACATTAATCTTTTCTAGTTTGGGTTACCCTTTAGCACTTGTAACCCCTCTGGAAATCCACGTCTTCAATTTGACCACAATCAAATTCTCATTCATTAAGTTTAGGCTGCATGTACATATATTTGTGTATAAATATTTATGATACATCCTGTACTGTACACCTCTGCTCAAAGAGAAGTAATAGACTTCCTAAAAACATTACTGAATAAATTTTTTTCATCTCAGTAACATTAGAATAGACAATTATAATAGTCTCTTACATTTACCTACAAATCTATTAAGAAAACATATTCAGCATAGCTGTGTTCAATGGAATATTCTCTCTCCCATATTGTTAAAGTTTAGAAACTTCCATCAGATGGTAAAAAGGCTTTAAAATACTACATTGTATATGCCATTCATAAAACTTTCCTTGAGGATCCAATCCCAACTTATATAGTAGATAAGGAAAATATTCCAGTTAACCTAAACAAGATTTAGTCTGAACTGTAGAGCGACAGCTACTCACCACTAACTTCATACATATTTTCTTCTTTCTAACTAGAAAATTAGGATCATAATTTGCACAATGGTCTCTACAGGTTAAACAAAGGATTTCTCTTACTACTCACCTTCTTGTTTTCCCACTCTCCAAATGGTTCAAGAATCACCAAGACAACAGGACACCTTCCAAAGTCTTCACGAATGCAGACAGAAAAGAAAAAAAAGGAAAAAAAAAACACAAGGATTTGTGCCCAAATGCAGAGCATTGCAGTAAGTAGCTATTAGACGTGTGGGCACAAAGGAAGAATCCACAGATTCACAGGTTCAGGGACTTGCTTTATATGGGAAAAATGAGATGCCTCTAATCCTCAAAAGTTAGGCAGGCATATTTTCAGGCTCCTCAGTTAGGATTTAAACACATAAAGGGGGCAAGGGAGGATCACAAATGTACATCTAACCTACTTGCAGTCTGAAAATATACAAAGCGGCTTTAAACACCCAGTGCAAGTGACAAGAACAGTTTTGCTCCAGAGCACAGAACTCTGCAAGCTAATTTGGGAGAGGACAACATTAACCTGTGCAGAGCTCTAAACTGGATTAACCCTTGCACAGAAATTAGCTCAGTTAAAGCCAGTTTAGGTACCTCAAGAGTCATTCTCCTATAGTCCATCCTCCCTGGAGAATACACTAAAAGCAGAGGTAGAAGCAGAATACCCAGTAGAGGTAGCAGCAAGCACTCTGTATGGAACAGTTGCAAAATGGAGAGAAGATTTCTCAAGCAGAGTTAATATGTTAATGTCCAGCAGCATTAACAAAAACCATCAACTGCACAGAAAGCAAAGTGAAGTGCAAGCAGATGGGAGCAAATACTGCAGAGGGCCTGCCTGTAAGACCATCCTGCTCTGGAGGAGCCACACAGTATGGGGCACACAGCTAGGTCTGACTAGGAAAAAAGGTCTTTCATAGGAATTTTTGGGACCAATTAGGCAGTGTCACTGCTGCATCACCTTCTTCAAAGTGAAGATCCTTAATATATTGACAAAAGGTGCAAACAAAAACATTAAAAAATAATTCCTCTGAAGTCCCTTTGTCATGTTAGCTGCCTGGGCTCCTCTTCTGCCCTGTATATACTGTCACAGATCTCAGGGGTTCAGCAAATTCCTTCCCCTTCCATACTACTGCAAACTGCTGAGCTGAGTTTGTTTGCAGTGACCAATCCAGAACTGAACATCAGCACTTTGGCAAGTCCGAGCCAAAAATGCAGAGTACTAAAACCAGCACAAGCTCCCAGCCAAAACTGGTGTATGGATAAAACTGCTTAGGAACTCCAACTTCATCATTAAATGTTATGTATATCCAAAGAAATTCCAATAGTGTGACCAAGCATCTGTAAGTTCTCTCTGCACACAGCAGTGCATCCATATAGGTGTTTTTTCCCTCGTAAATAGTCTGCCTTGGTGGATTTAAAGCTGTGAATACTTGAAGTTAATAGCATTTGACTTCAATCCATAGGCAGTACAGGATCAATTTCCTAATTACATATATAAAAATCTGTTTCCCCACACCAGAAAAAAAAATTAATACAATCATGATAATGTACTGTCATTTATTTATAACAAAGTCAGGACACCTGAACAAGAGAGGTTTGCAGCAAGATTTTTTGTTAAGTATGAACCCCCATTCCCTTCACTTTCAGTCTTCCTGCTGTAGTTACCAATTATTACACTTAAAGCCAAAGCTGCTCTGAAGGAGAACAAGAGCTGGAACTGCCAGAAGTGAGGTTGAGATATTCAGTTAATAATTTAGCAGCAGCTACTTATCAGGATATACAAGTTCACATTCCTCCTTTTCCCCACAGAAACATCTTCTTCATGAAGGAATTTCTCTGGGAGGTCACTGCTAGAGAAGAGAGTGAATAGCACTGTCTGCAAGAAAATGCCTATTTCAGGCTCCAAGAATTATTCTGGATAACTTGCACAGACTTCTTTAAATGAATGGTAATAACACTTCTTTAAGAATATTAAATCTTCTACGTAGAGCTCTTCTACCACATTGCAGCATTTAATCTGGTTTGAAAACTAGGTTTTGCCCTCACGCAGGTCTAGTAAGAGAGCCATATAAAACATGCAAATTAAAAGAAAAAGGTATAATTATGCTCTTTGGTATCTAGATTTTAAGTTTAGATAGCAGAAGAATGAGAGTGAATGAAGTATATCCAAAACCTAATGCCAAATTTTGGGCTGTTGAAAAGAGTCCATTCTTATCTTGTTATAAAAGGTGCAATATTATTGTCTCTTAAATATTACTCATTTTTTTTCCGGACTTCACAGCTGCCATTGCAGGTATGTAGTAACATTACTTCCATTTCTCCATAAAAGAGTCATCCAAATCAAACAATATTTCTGCAGAGCATCACCAAATACGATATCCTCATCAATTATGATATATAAATGGAAATTTTGAACTTCAGACTGTAAAAATATGCTGGAAAGTATTAAAGGTGGTACAAATGAAAATCATCTGGAAAAAAAAAATTCTGAGCTTTGACTAATCTCCTTAGCCAAGCAAGACAAGGAGTTTATCAAAGTAAGTTTTAGTGATCAACTCTCCAGATTAAAAATACATCTTTGTGTTAAATTTAAATGCTTGTATGTTCTTCTGTATAATTCTTTGCTATGTACAGGAGATAAATTTGAGGAAGTTTTATTTCACTGAGATCCAAATTCATCTCACTAACTGCAGGAATTTCTCTGGGGTGCCTAATTAGGAGCCACATCAACAAAGGTTGCCTATATAAGTCAATGCTGAGAGACAGCTTTAAAGGATAATTCAGTGTTGCTACTCTAAAATTGCCTCTTCTCATGCACTATAGAACAGGGCTCCTAATCTCAGCTGGGTATTACAATTAGTTGAAATTAATTCTGGCCCCATCCCTAGGGTTCCTTCAGTAAAAAAGTTTTCCTTTTTTCTTTCATTCTGAAAGAAAAAAAATTATTCACAAACCTAAGAAACACATAGGACAGATGCTCCTGTCTTTCACTTGGCCCTGCAGGCTTCTGAAAACCTATGGAAAATACCATTCTCACTGGTGTTATGGCTTCACAAAGTCATAACCACTGCCACTGCCTTAGACTGCATTCAGTGTTCCCAGTAGACATTTCTAGCTAGCTAGCTTGAACTTCAAATTCACCCCATTTCTAAGCTATTCCAGTCCCCAGAAAGGATCTTCAACAGTCTAAGGTAGAATAAAATGAACAATGACATGGCTCCCTACTGCAAACCTGCACTGTTTTTGAACACAGATGGAAAAAGTAAAACAGAGCCCAGAGTAACTCTCTGGATGCATGACCCAGGAATTGGTGCACCCTGGAGTCCTGAGGATACACAGCTCTCACAAATGTATTCTGCTCTGTAAGTAACCTGCTTGTGAATTTGATACAGAAAGACTAGACAGTCATGAAACAAAAACAAAACAAAAAAAATCAAATCCATGTATTTATATAACTTCTCAGGATAGACTTTATCACAATCAAAGGATACAAGCTCCATTCACTCAGCCAAGTTCAGTATTCTTTCAATAAACCAGGTTAAAAAAAATCCAGGCTAGTGACATGCCAGCAAAGTAAGGGTCATTTAGGAATGCTAAGTGAGAATATTCAGCTGTCTAGTGTTTGGAAGGGGGCAGGGAAGAGACAAACTATATTTCCCCACATTTACTTCCTTTAGAGATTTTTTTTTTCCAAAAAAGATGCCTTGCTAAGGAAAAAACCAATGATTTTTCATCCTTTCTATATGCTATATGAAAAACTAAAGGGAAGAATTAAAGAGGTGGTTTGGTTTGATTTGGTTTGGTTTTACAGTCAAAATTCATGTCTATGTACTCTGGAAAAGTTGCAGTGACTGAAGAATTTATGAAATTGTGATGTGAGAAAAAAAGAAACAGGAAAGAGTAAACCCTACAGAAATAGAGATTCCATTGTCTACCGTCCTTCAGCCAAGATTTTCAAGAATGACTAATGATTCTGGCTGTTACAACGCCTGAATTGCCTTTGTGGATATTCATTTCCAGAAAGTGCTGAGTATCTTTCCTCTGCAAATCAAGCCTCTTGAAACTCTGTGTAGCTGGGTAACCAAGAAGGAGGCATGGAAAACTTCCTTTAAATTTAGAACATTTTTTTTAAACACCCACTTAACTACAATGCTCAAAAAGACACTTGGAAAAAATGTCATTGTGAAGTGATTGGATTATCTGCTATATAATTACAGTGTTGCAATACATACCCCTGAGATATTCAAGCAGCTTGAGAGGAAAACTAGGGATGATAATGTATTATCCGAGACATGAAGAGTTTAAAAATAGGCAGAAATAATGCCTCCAGCCATTTTTTATTTGCTACACCAAGACGATACTTTTAAAGTACTTCGTACATTTACTAGAGATTGTGTTTACCACCTTAGTGATCAGCCATAATCTAAACTATTTCAAAAAAGTGGGTTTTGCAGAGATTTTTGGCCTTTTTTGCAAGTGCAGGCACTCTCCTGCACTTGATAGTTATAGATATAATCATACATGAAGTCTGAGGAAACTGATAGATCTGATTTGCATTTAAGAGTTCATGTAACTATCAGGCCAAATGGGACTACACAGATTACTTCAAGTAAATGTGTGCTTCGCTGTCTGTAGGATTAGGACCTTACCCATGCCGTTCACTTAAACATTCAGCTATCCTAATATCTGAACATTTAGTGCAATCCACTGGAAAATACACCACAGCACATAGAATTATTATAGGCTGCAAGATACCATTATTTCCAAGTTCACCAGGAATTTACAAATTCCCAGCAAAATCTAAGATGCAAGCAGCTGCACATAAGATTAAATCCCCTACCTCCAGCAGTTTTACAAAACTTTTGCATGATATATGTTCATTACACAAAGCTAAGTGCCCACCAATCAAACTGCTATGAATGCCCCAAAGTGGTTATCTCTTTAAGAAGATAAAGTGTGTTGTTTATATAACTTATTAAAAATTGCACCCTTGCATTCCTTTTTCAGATAAAAAGTGTGAGGGCACTGCTTTATCACTTTAAGTATGTGTTTCTTTGAACATATTTGTGCTTTAAAGTAAACACCAATGCTAGTTTTTACGACTACTAAAATCAAAACACATCTTTTCAAACTAATCTGTACAA